CACCGTGGCCCACTTCTCGTTTTTCGGTATATCGCGTCGTAATTATTTACTAGCGTAGCTCGCGTAACACTTATGAACATTTTCTTTTACAGAAAGCTTGGGGAAACACCCACTATAATCGCTCGTGTTTTCTGTTATGGACCCACCTCCTCCCGATCCGACGGATCCGATGGATGAACCGATGGACCTCGATTCAATGGATCAAACTGGTGAGTCCCCTTCATCGTACCGGTTTCCGGTCAAAGCTTAGACTTGAGTCATTTTGTTGATTTTCCTAGAGATACCACGGTAGAAGACCCGGTTACGGGGTCTCCCGGGCCTCAAGTACCTTTCTACTCAACACAGCCAAATTCAGAGCCTACTCTCAACGGCGTCTCCAATGGATATGATCACGACCATGCAGCAGCTACGGAGGAATCATCACCTCCGCCGGCTGCCCACTCACCGAACGACGAGTCTTCGGCCCCTCTGGACCTATCCGAAGAAGCATTGCTTGCTTCTGATCCTGAACTGGAGGACCTCGATGCAGACCGCGCAGACGTTCTAGCGCGCTCTTTAGAAAACTTGTCCGTGGCCGGCTCCCAACCCTCAGACCCGTCTCCTATCCCCTCTAACCCTAGCCCCAGCCTCCGTCACCGTTCCCCAAGGCGCGGCGAGCCATACCGCGCTCCGCCTGCCCCACGTAACGCTCGACGACGTCGCAGACGTCGTCCTCAAAACCACCCCCGTCGCCCCTCTCCAGCGCGCACACCCTCCCCTCCACCGCTTCCTCGCTTTAGAGCAAACTTCATGCACTACCTGTGCTCTTACCATCCGTGGGCAAAGTCGGTCAACCCCCGCCCCAGGGAAATGTTTACTTATGGGTTCCAGGGTGTCACCAACGAACTCCCGGTGAGCATCTACAAACACATCCCCGACGCGGGCTACATGAACACGCGCTTTACCCGCTCTCTGTTCCCTAATTTCGTGATCCCCGAACAGGCTCACAGAAGGCCCGTTCCTTTCATCGAGCTTCAGCATTTAGAAGATTCAGTCGGTTTTCGTTATCGCTCAGAGAGCACTATCAGTGACCTTTATTACGAGGTGTATCGAGACGAAGACGTAAGCGGGCTCGCTCAGAACATAGACGGTGACGAGCAATATACGATTGACCCACCCACAAGGCGCGGGTATCGCCCCGTCCTTATCAGGTCGTCTCGACAGGTTGGGGCACAGGAGTAATCCTGGAGGCAAAGGACTTTTTCACGGTCTTCCCCGACCGCCGTGATCTCCACTGTATCGTGCTTGATCAGTACGCGGTCAACCACCTTGACCGGGCTCCGCGGATTTCGTAAATCCCACATATCCGTAAAGGATTACGTATGGGTATACGACGTGAAGCCAACGCGTCAAGCATTGGAGCGTCCCGGCGACACTCTGACAGCCTCCCGCGTTCCGCGCACCACCGCGCTTGATTCGAACTCGGTGTTCTTCTTCCGTGTTTCGCACTTCGCGCTCATCACCCCTGTTACCTCCCCGACCCGGTGTATGGCATCATCATCTCGAGGAAGATCACTCGAACAGGTAAAGTCGCATCCCTCAAAGCGGTGTTTGAAGGAGCACCCGAGGCTGTCACCATCACTACCTCAATCTGCGATTTCCCTCTCGATCAGGTGCGAGAAGACGAGATCGTCATGGCTCTTACACGCGCTAACGGATCGTGTGCTATGCGTTTCTCCGAACCCGCGGCATCCCAAACCGACCTCTCGATACTGTGTGACAATGTTCGTCATGTGCTTCCACTACACCCGGAAGAAGGTCTGGTCCCCTTGCACGTGTGGAAACTCGACGATAGTGAGCGGGCATGGTTAGACGACAGAGCTGGTGAATTCGAGAATTTCCGTCTCCATAACGAAGAATCCAAGCTTCCGCATGTCCAAGGTATTCAACATGGCTTGCTCTGCTTTGGCAGCCATTAATTCCGCCGATGACGATCCGTCAATCTCATCGAGTATCTGCTTCCGTGCCCATCCCCCCTCATTTCCCGACGCAGCTTTCGTTCGTTTTGAACGAAATGAACTCTGAAGCTGGATGGTGTTCTCAACGTCCGGTGGCTCTACACATCTTAGGTTCCGACACCATAGTACGTGCCAAGGTCGCCACCGTCGAGGTCCTCACCGAGCAGCACGCGCTTCACGTGACCTTGGAGGCATTCATCTGGTCAAACAGCGCCCTCACGGACCTAGTGCACCGTTACGGTCGCCTTTCTGGCCCCTTGGCTTTCGTCGACCTGGTCGTTCGTCTCGGTAGGCAGACTAACCGTGCAAATCCGGTTTACGACGCCATTTCTCGTATGAACATCTATGAAGGACTACGTCCTCATACTTTGGCTCATACCATAGTAAATCAGGTTTACGGCTTCGTAGACGTCGACCCAGCCCCTGCTCGCCCGCACTCTCCAGTGCCACCGGCTAACCCCCTCGCAGGTCCCATCGCGGTCCCCCCATCCTTCACGATCAATGGCGCTGAGGTCCAGCTCACAGCTGACCAAGCTGAAGCTGTTCGCCTAGCCGTCAGCCCGGAACCAATAGTGGCCATTCAAGCCGCCTTCGGGACCGGAAAGACCATGGTCGGTGCCCTCATCGCAGCGCTCATCGCGTCACAGCCTCAGAACGCAGTCCTCGTCACCGCTACTACCAACGCTGCGGTTGCGCAGTTCACTGAGACTTTATTGTCTCTTGAACAGTTTGCGGACTTGAACATAGTGCGCTACCTTTCCGACACGGCAGCTTCGGAAAATCTTTACCCCACCAGCGTGGACCTTAACAACATCTTCAAGACCATGATAGATGACTACCTCACAGAACTGAGCGACGATGAGCGTCGGTTCTGCGCGGACTTCAAGGCAAATCGCGAGATCCTCGAAAGGTATCTAGCGAATCCCAATCGCCGGGTGAACATGCCCGAGGAAGACCAGCACGAGTACGAGATCGCAGAGCGATCCGTCTCCAATTCCGTCGCAAGGATGGTCCGCATCATGTTCAGGGTATGCCCTCCCGCCATTATATGCATGACCACAGCCTCCCTCCTTAACACTGCGGACATAGCAACGGTATCTTCCGCAATGACATAGGCGAATACGGCACCATAATCGGCGACGAAGCATCGCAGATCCCGGAACCGGCTTTAGCCGCCATATGCAGCCGCCTCCCCAATGCACGTCACCGTTACATCGGAGACGTTCACCAACTGGAGCCCCATGCCCGTTGCCCTCGAACGGCCAATCCTGCCCGCTACGGCGCTCGCGGAATCATGACGGTTCTGGTGAACGCTGCAGCCGTCCCCGTCGCTCCGCTCGTCACCACTTTCCGAGCACATCCCGAGCTCAACGCGCTACCTAACGTAGTCGCTTATGATGGAGCGCTCGTCAGTGGAGCTGACCCGGCCGCACGCCAGCTGTTACTCTCGGTGACCCAGCTACCCAATCCCAAGGTGCCTTTCCTGTTCGTGGACGTCAAGGGACCTTCAACGAAGGCCCTGAGCAAGTCTCATTATAACACCAATGAGCAAAGCGTCTGTCTCCAGCTCGTCAAGCTGTTGCTCGCTAAAGGGCTCACTCCACCTCAGTTATGCGTGATATCCTTTTACAAGGAACAATCACTGCATTTGCAGCACAAGTTGGACGCACTCAGGGTCGAGCTTACGACAGTCGACTCAGTTCAGGGACGCGAAAAACAGGTAGTCATTCTTTTGACAACGCGCACTAATTTTGCCCCTGATTCAGCCGACTTCCTGGACGACTACCGCCGGATGAACGTAGCAATATCACGATGTCGCCATGGGCAATTCATCCTAGGCGAAGTCTCTTCGCTCACCGTCGTGCCGTTCTGGAAGAGAGTGGTAGATTGGGCCACCAGTATCAACGCCGTCGCTCCCGCCGATCACTTGGAGCGATATTTTCGTGAGTGAATCCCCACTCCCCCGCCTCGGTAAGCTCATCATTTCTTTTAAAAAGTCCGGGACGGACTTTGGGTAAAGGGGGGAGGTGTAAGCGGTGTGAGGTGTAGTCGACCGTACCCCTCGATGACTCATGCCTTTTCAGGGCGGAGCGACAGTCAGCTGGATCGAGGAGACGACCAGCAGCAACGACCGAGGTCCGCGGCCTCATCTCTCTCTTCCTAAGGGCGAAGCCCTCAACATCCAGACCTGCCTGCTTGATCTCCGTTCATTCTTTTGTTTATATCGTATTCTCGTAGTTGTCCTACTTCAGTGTGCCTTACTCTTGTCTACGTAATTGTCTTGTATCGCGTTGTTATATACGTAATATGTTGAGTTCTATCGCGTTTACTCATGTACTTACATGTCAGATAAACTTTAGTACTAATCGGTGTCGAAGCAGGTGTTGGTGCAGCTTCCATTGCGTGGCGCTCGCTTACTCCGTGCCTGCTTTGGCTTAGCCTTTAAAGGCTGAGCCCGCTTTCAAGAATAATGAGTCATGGAGCTCATATAATACGTGATCCAGTAGTGAAGAAAAAAAAGCAGAAAAAATCATGGAAAATGCCCTAAATAGAACCCTATGCTGGCCAGGTGGGCGGGGCGGTCTCCCTTCACAAGCGGGTGGCCCCATCCTCTCGTACTTTTGAGCTGCGAAATTAGTACATCCTCCACCCTTGTCGACAGAGCTACGATATCTAAGGAGGGCGTAGGAACATCAAATGAACGCGGGCGCTGCCTTTAAACAATCATCCTCTTCACAAGAATGGTTTAAAGGCAGCGCCTTTGAGGTGAGGGCAAAAGTAGTGTCCAGGCGGGAGTTTTCACCAAGTTAAACGTGTGAGTGCTGTAAGGTTACGGCATAAGCCGTTAAGCTGAGAGGGTAAAAGCGGCCCTGGTGGCGTAACGGATAGCGCACTCGCCCGGAAAGCGTGAGGTGCGGGTTCGACTCCCGCCTGGGGCACGACTTTTGCCCACAACTCAGCATTCTTGTGATAACATTCGGAACGCGTACTGCGGCGTTAAACAGCAGTTATCATAACAAAAATCAGCCTCTTCGTGATCGCTTATTCGCACGCTACAACAAAATGCACCACCTTCTTGGAATACATCCGAACTCTTCGACAAATAAGTTGGAAGCGTGTTCTAACTTGTATACCCTAGCACATTGCCTAGGTAAGAACTTTCTAGGTAAGAACTAAATGATCATGCCTGGAAATATGCAATTTTCGCTAGTTGCGTCTGCAGCATCAGATTTCAAGGTGTACGGGCCTCCATTCAATGGAGCAATGGGTGGAGCGGTAGACATCCTAGCACATGTGTGGGTGTCTCAAAAGCGCGTGACATTTTGTAGAATCTCGTAACAGATATTTACCGAAGCTATTCCGAGATCCACGTATGAGGTCCACGGAAGCGTGTTAAGTAGGCATCCTACAGTTGCTTGACCGTTCCTCGTCCGTCGCTGTCCTCATACCAGAAACGGTGGATGAAAATCATTTTCGTCACACTTCGCTATATGAATCTCCATCAAGTCACAACGTGGTTGGAGCCACACACAGCATTTGCTCTGAGTTAGGTCCTGATGTTACCTTCCATGGTACGGCGTTGGAATGGCTCAATCGTTTTCAACTGAGTGACTTCTACCTAGGGAGAAAAACTTCGTCCAGGGAGGCGACCTGCCTTGGATTTGGACCTACTGTGTTCTTTGTTGATTAGAACCAATCCGTACACAATTACTCGCTAATTCTTAGTTCGCTTAAACATGCCCTGTAAAGAACAAATGACAGGAGTCTTCGCTCCCTCAAGAAAATACTGAAGAAGTATTGAAATCAAAATTTTTCTCTTGAGTACCGACACTCCAAGAGGAGCGCATGTGGGTACTGTCTACCCTTCTCTCGCCGCTTCGCCGTTTTTGAACTGGTCGAATCAGCGCTGTAACTGGAATCATGGAGTAGGTACGGTCTTAGGTGAATGCAACTCTCTGGCAAGCGCCGGCTAAGATCCCCAAGAAAGGGCAGAACCCGATCGCGCAACATACTATTCGATCCAGTAGAGCGCTGAGGACTGTGTTATTGTGTTGGTGGTTTCTTTCACCTTCCCAAACGGAGTGTCTCTCTCAGCGCTGTGGTTGCCTAAATACCCTATTGCAATCAATCTTGCAAAGGGGGATGAAGATCCCCACGGTTTGGTCCCACAACTGAGCAATGTTTGCCTACTCCACCACAGCTCAGGGTCACACATTTAAAAAATGACACTGCTCAAGAACTTGAAATCTAGCTTTTGAGTTCCACTATAGTGTTCGTGTGGCCCTGACTGCACTCTTTCACCACTGACGCCATGCAACCTAATCTTCAGCAGTCCAGCTTCTGGGCGAAAAATACGATTTTCAAAAGCACCTCAAAAATGACTCAAGGAACCAATAAGCTTCTGGTTACAAGGCATCCACTCCTTGCTTGGCGGTGGCAACAAGTTGAAGATGAGGGCTATATATTATTGATTATTAGTATAATATAATTGCTTGTCATATTATCAATTACCATGATTGTTATATATTAAAATTGCTTTTCACTGAAATAAACTTGACCCAAAAAAAGTTCGAAAGTGTCACGAACTTTTGGGGGACCCCCACATAATCGGCTGAGTCTGTATGTGAGAACCTCTGAACATGGTCTGTCTGTGCTTTCACAGTTCGCAGCCGGACGGTCGCTCAGGCAAAACAGGCCGCATTAGCAACAAACGCTCGGAACCTTTTTTCTTTTCAAATTCATCGCTAACCCCACGAGGTTATTTTTCGAGAATGGAGCTTCACCGTAGAAAACAATAATTTATTGTGTATTGCACAATGTTCGCTCATTTTCAGCGAATTAGTAACGGCGGTAGCCGTTGTTTGCAGGCTGCACAACATTCTGGGCAGCATTACGCTTGGGGCATGGACAGTATTCGGCGTCCTTGCCAGGTTCTCCTTCCTCTCCAGGCTCTCCTGGATGACCATCAGCACCATCGTCTCCCTTAAAAGACGATTATAATTGTATTTGAACCACGCATCTGTAACTAGTAAGAAAATGAACTAGCCGTTCAATTTCATCAATAGCTATCATAAGAAATGGATCCAACACCAACCTTCTCTCCTTGTGGTCCGCGTTCTCCGGGAGGTCCAGCCTGTCCGGGTGCTCCAGTATCTCCCTGTAGTCCCTCATCTCCTTCATCTCCAACTGGACCGGGTTCTCCCTTGGGACCAGGAAGACCGATCTGGTGTTCAACATCCTCTCCAGGTTCTCCTTGAGGTCCTTCCTCACCAACTGGTCCAGGAGCTCCAAGTCCACCGAGAGTTCCGGGGAAACCTGGCTGTCCATCACGGCCGGGCATAGCAGCTTGTCCACGGGCTCCACGCATTCCACGGGCTCCTGGCTTGCCAGTTGGTCCTGAATAGGAGATTCACGTTAGTCACTGGCACACAGAGCAAAAGGAATATTGAACTAACCGGGAGGTCCAGGAGGTCCTTGTGGGCAGGTGAAGCATCCAGCATACTGCTGAGTCTGGGCCTTGGCATCTTCTGCGTCTTGTCCATCAATACCAGGCACTCCTGGGAGTCCATCAGGACCATCGACTCCAGCGGCTCCCTTAGGTCCAGGGGGACCAGCTGGGCAAGTGTTGTCAGCGTTGCAGTTGCAGTTTCCGTTGGGGTGGGCTGAATAACATTACATTATACAGTTTTAATCTAGTGGAATGAAGATAAAGGGACTGTGACTCACCCGATGGGGCTCCATCATTTCCTGGGAAGTTGTTGTTGTTGTTGCGGTTGAGGCTGGGTGGCACTCCAACAACACCTGGGAGATGTCCGTTAGGACCACTTGGCTGGTGTGGTGGACCTCCAGCATCTCCTGGATATGGCTGCTCACCGAACGAACCTCCAGGGAAGTTGGGTGGCTAAAATTTGCGGTTCATAAAGCAAAATGTGCAGATGTGAGAATGAGACAACTATACCTGTGGTCCGCCAGGGAAGCTTCCTCGTGGGGGAGGTGCGGCATATCCGTAAGCCTGACGACGGACACGTCCGTATTTGTTCATATCCCTCCACAGGTTATCGGTCTCGACTTTCCACGATTCCATTTCGGCATCGAGCTCAGCGCGGATGTCGCTGATTTCGCTGAGAATCATGGGGAAAGCGAAGAGACACATAGCGAGAGCGAAACATCCCAGGCCTGTGGCCACCACTGCCACCGAACGCGATGACATCTGGAAATAGAGTATAGTAGGTGGGAAATAAGGATCTGAGAGGTAAATGGGACAGAGGAGAAGGCCACCAAGGATGGTCGATCGCGGACAATGAGGTTCTCGTGGAGATGTGGACCCGCTATATATGGAGATACGGCAGAGGGGATGGTGATAATGGCCTAGATCCGCCATGCCAAGAGATAGGAACCAGATTTGGACGCAGATAACCCAAAGAGATATGGAATCGCGCATCTATAGACAATAGGTTGGTCCATTCGCTATACGACTGTCATCCAAAATAAATGCATCAATATGGGTTAAGGAGAGAATGAGAGAATAGAGATAAGATGCGAAACGTAATTTCATTCCCACTCAGAGGCACTTTTTACTATTGTTTCTCTTATTAATGGAGCTGTGCTTATCTACAGCTATTATTTTTAAAAGGTAATTACAACCCCTATATAGGGATTTTTCCGCTAAAGCTACGAGGGCCGTTCATCGAATTAGGTTGGCCCACAAGTAATGGCGTTTTTTGTCACACAAATTTTTATATGGAAAATGACAATTGTTCCCAATATGTTCTACACTGTTTGATAGATAATTTTCCGCACTATAAGATAGTATAATTGCCTTCTTACTATTTCT